ATGTTTGAGTGCGTGTTTTTCAAAGTATAAAATTCAAAGACAAATTTTAAAAAAAGTAGTGGAAAACTTAAGAGGAGCTGCAGGGAAAAGAAAAGAAATATTAAGGGAGAAAAAAAGGAAAGGAAAAAGCACCGACTTCCCGCTGTCTTCAGCCACATTAGAAGGATAACGACACGGCAACCACAACTTTTTGCTTTTACACAACAGCCCTGTCCTGTTTTTGGAGAGAGAAACGAAACAGATCAGAACTCGGCGAATGGCGTTTCCCTTTTGCTTTAAACAGTCAAACTCTAATACGGATCTTCTCTTATTTTTGATCTCTTGCGAGGCTGAAATAAGACGATTGGAAAGAGGGGAGGGGAAGGCAGTTTATTGCTTTAAACAGGACGCCGAACTAGAATTCACGAGGACAAATTCTCGGGCAGAAATTATAAGTCGCTGCTGGTTTACTATTGAAGTGGGTTTTGATCTACAGATGGTCCCTGAACTTTCAGCGGTTCGTTTTTGCGACGGTCCAAAGTTACAAGAAAAGTTACACGGCCTGAAAAAAAAGGTGACGTTGAACCGCTGTTCACACTTAAAGACCGTTGGCAAAGATCCCGACGGCCGCGCGATTTACGCTCGGAGGCTCGGCAACCGGCTCACATTCACGACGGTTGTGTGTGACGCGATCCACCTTTGCGTTCCTACTGGCCCAGCCAAAACAACGTTTTAACCACCATGAGACTCACTTGATGTAATAAATGCCAGGGAGAGAAAGGTCGTAAAACGTGACTCGCTTGATGTAAATAAGTGCCCGGGAGAGAAAGGTCGTAAAGCGAGGCAGAGCTCACTTGGCAGATGCCTTACTTGAACCGCAGGAATTTCGGGCTGGGTTTTAGTCGTATCTCAAGGACGGTTGGGTTATTTTAACCCCCGAAAACCAACTCCTGCATTGCAAAACTTCCTATAAAAAACGTCCACGGCTTAATAACGGAGAAATGGAAACTATTCTTATTAGGGCTAAACCGCAACAAAAAATACAACAGAGAAATGTTATACCTAATCTTACATTATTACAACTGAGGCAAAGAATAGCATAGGCACGAAAATGGGGGAAAAAAATAATACAGTACCGAAGGAAGAATGAATGCACGAGGATGGAGAAATTGACAAAGGAAATAACAAGGGAAGAGAATACTATTTAGTTTGGGGGAAATGGTGCAGGCGATAGAAACAAGAAATTGGGAAACGTAAAAATTAAAGTATGGCAGAACAATTAGGATATGGAGATAAGACAAGGAGTAGGAAAGATAAATTAAGATATATTAACGTAAGAAAAGTATACACAAGGATTGTCTGAGATAAATGGCTAAATATGAATAACTAAGGACTTGTACATGAAAAAGTATCAGAGGGCCACAAATGTAAAATTGAAATGTACAGGAGGGGAAACAATGACTGTAAAGATTCGCCGATAAGTTATGTGTTTGTCTGTGTTGATGTTTTTAAAATAAACTTAAAACATTTCCACGTCTCCGGTGGGCATCGGCCCTCGTCCACTGCCATGGATACAGTGGGCACTTTCCCCTCCCCTCTTAATTCCCCAACCTTCTCTCTTCTATGTTGGCACCAGCCAAATCTGTAGCTCCGCTCTGCATTTTTCCTTCCTCCAACCACAAACGCGATTAACGATATCATTTAAAAAATGGAGGTAAATATTTGCACCGTCTATCGTGACCCGGATGTTGGAGCTGGGGAACAGGTTCAAGGGGAAATTGCGGGATGGTTGCGAAGGTGTGTGGGAATTCATCCTGGCCTTTTTTGCAATGCCTGGCACCCTAAAAACATCTCAGGGGTGGGGATAGTTCTGGGGTGGGTGGGTGGGCAGGCGCTGGGGTGGTCTTATTGCCCATCTCACCGCCTTCCCCGGGGAAACGAGAGTTTTGCATCTGAGAGTAAACCACATCGCTGGCTTAACTAAGAAACTGTGGTCGAAGCTGCAGATTTCAAAGGAGCCTCAAGCTCCTAGCCCCTGTGAAGGCTCTGGGCCTGGGAGAGGTCATTGATTTGTTAGTTTTCGCTGTGGTTTTTTTTTTTGAGGGGGGAGGGAGACATAAGACATAAAGGCAGATATAACGGGAGGGTCCCCAGAGAATTATCCTTGGAATAAAATGTATGGACCCCGTTTTTTAAAAATTGGCCTTGAATTTTTTAAGAGCAGGGGTCTCCCAAGCTTGTCTGCTTTAAGACATGTGGACTTCAATTCCCAGAATTCCTCAAGCAGCAGAATTATGAGAGTTGAAGTTCACAAGAATTCTGGGAGTTGAAGTTCACAAGTCTTAATTCTTGGAATTGAAATTCCCAAGTCTTAATTCTGGGAGTTGAAATTCCCAAGTCTTAATTCAGGAAGTTGAAGTTCACAAGTCTTAATTCTGGGAGTTGGAAGAAATTCACAAGTCTTAATTCTGGGAGTTGGAAATTCACAAGACTTAATTCTGGGAGTTGAAGTTCACAAGTCTTAATTCTGGGAATTGAAATTCACAAGTCTTAATTCTGGGAATTGAAATTCACAAGTCTTAATTCTGGGAATTGAAATTCACAAGTCTTAATTCTGGGAGTTGAAATTCACAAGTCTTAATTCTGGGAATTGAAATTCGCTAGTCTTAATTCTGGGAATTGAAATTCGCAAGTCTTAATTCTGGGAGTTGAAATTCGCTAGTCTTAATTCTGGGAATTGAAATTCGCAAGTCTTAATTCTGGGAATTGAAATTCACAAGTTTTAATTCTGGGAATTGAAATTCGCTAGTCTTAATTCTGGGAATTGAAATTCGCTAGTCTTAATTCTGGGATTTGAAGTTCACAAGTCTTAAAGCGGTCAAGTTTTGAGACCCTTGCCTTAGAGAAAAAAGTGGTTTCCCTCTCCCCCCTCTTCCGTTGCATGTTGCGTAAATCCATCTGCTTTGGCGGAAACACAATCCTCCTGTTGCGATTGTGGGATTTGAACCGGGTTGAACGTGATTTCTTCCAACTCTGGGTGGTTTTTGAGGTCTCGGGCAGGGTCTCGCCATTCATTCTGGTTGCCCTTGAGATGCCCCGGGGGAGGGATTGGGGTGGGGGGCAAAATGCAACTGTCCCGTATAGGGAAATCTACCAATTGCGATCCTGAAGTTGGACGGACGTGATTTTCAGCATTGTTAGATTTGTGCATAGAAAGAATTTTGTTATGGCTACATATCATCTTTGCATTTTGCTTCCCCCCCCCTTCCCATTTTGGTTCTTTTGACCTCAAGATGAGAAACTGCCAGGGGGAGGAATTTTGGAAGAAAACGAGATGATTTTTTCAAGAGATATATTAAATCCTTGGACCAGTTCCACGCTGAGCTGTGTCTTGTCCTGTAGAATTTCTTTTTTTCTTCTTTGGGGAAAAGAGAGAGAAATCTACTTTGGCTTTGCTAACTTCTTTTTTTAAGGGAGGGGGGTGAGTTGTGTGTCACTACCCAGTCTGCATCTGCTTAGATGGGGGGGGGGAGAGAATGTAGAGGGTTCTCTGTGTGTGTGTGTGTGTGTGTGTGTTGTCTCGAGCCTGCGTGCCCAGGTGTGGGAGCCGTTCCACCCATATTTTTTTTAACCCTGGTGACTAAAGAATTCCTTTCTCCTTTAGGCAGTTGATGGGAGATGAACGTATATATGTATATATAAAAACATATTTTTAAACAGAAAACCTGCCCAGATTAGCAGTTAAGCTGTCCCAAAGTGTTTCACAATAACACAAGACAGTGTTTGGGTGTGTGTGTATATAGATAGATAGATAGATAGATAGATAGATAGATAGATAGATAGATAGATAGATAGATAGATAGATAGATCTATAGAACTCTCTAGATGATAGATAGAT